ACTCAGCTTTACTCTCAAAACACGTCTTCGGGAATAAACATTGTTGACCTTTAAATGTTTCTTCGTATTATATTTCTTGTCTTGATTGCTTGTCAAGATCTCGTTCTTACATGATCGCTTTGCCAGTTGTTGTTTTCAGTCGTCCGTGAACGCGTTGGTCACGCTCTACGTCCCGTTTTTATGCTCTGATTGGTCAAAATTTGACAGGTGAGTTTATGCGGAAAATTTATGCAGCATCCTGAAACTTGTTTACTGTGACAGCTGAAGCTGACAGAGTTTTGTGTCAACTTGTGATGTTTTTAACTGTCTTTTTCTACTGGATGTACGAAATGAAATTCAGCTACGATCAAGAGTCTTCTGTTATTCATGGCTAGTTTGTCTATTGGGTTTTTGGTTGAGAAATACGTCGCCTGTCAAAGTCGGAAAACCGATTTCGGATGCATCGATTCGTTTTCGTTTTTCACCTTGCTTGACTGAAAAGTCTGAAGCGTAGCTTCCAGGAGCTGCCTGAGTAATTATTGTATTTGTGCTTGTTTTTTTCATATATCTAATTTCATGAAGCCGAGCGCAGTTTATGAGGCTATAGTTTATGCATGTTTGAATTAAGATTTGAGATAATGGTCTGACCATAGGCGTACGGGTTATATTTTGCCAGGGGGGGCGGTAAACCATTTGCCGAAAAATTTTTTCAAGTTGCCCAAATTTTTAAAAGAGTCGAACAGAAACGAGGGCCGATGCAACAGCTTAGGTCGTACTGGCATAAATGGCTCGATACAGTTTTTCAGGGTCAATACCTGACAAGTTTGAGCATAAACTACGTCACCATAAACAAACATTTGGAAAAATTGCCACCACAGTTGTATTAGATAAAGATGAAAATTTGTTGTGATCAGGGTTGCAATGACATCGGAGATGTCATAGCAACGAAATGAAGCCATTACCTATTATACTTGCAGCAATATTTCTCCGTGGAAACTGTTCTTCTAAAATCGATCAAAGGAGCTTTTTCCTCCAATAGTCGCCTCGATGTTCGTGAAGTTAAAACGGAATCTGTAAGAGCGTCATCGAGACATTTTGGGATAAAGTTTTTATCGTTGGAAATACGGTACAAAAAAGGAAAATCTTGATGTTTGGCCGTAATCTGTAGAAAACGATGCGCTTTTGACATGCAATTTGACCTCATAGTAGTTTCAATCTTTTTAAAAACGTGGGTGAAAGATCATGGAGATAGCTCCGGCCAATTGCTACAAAGAAGGATTTGATTAGTATGTATCATGGCGCTCTTGTAAGCGGTTTTGTAAACATTTCAGTCTACTTTAACAAATTAGTGAATAATTTTAAACCGCCAGATAGGTTTTTTCTAAAAAAATTAAGATTCGTTTCGCAATTCAAACTGAGAATTAGTCAGCCACTTCGTCACTTTCAGACCCATTGCTGATGCTATCTGCCATACACTGTTCTACGAGCGAAGATGATTCTAGAATTAGAAAGTTAGGCGGAAGTTTATTCTAATAACTAGTTCACGACTGGAAATAGCCCATTGCAGTACAGGGCCCAACAATAAAAAAAAATCAGTATATGATACCCTTCCCTTATAACCAGAAACTCATCACGCGCTAGGCAGCCACTCGCTGTCTCGTGTCAATGTAACTGGATTATTAGGCCGACTTCAGGTTAAAATAGAAAATATTTATCTCTTCAAAATAATAATAAAAACATGGAGACGTCGTTAAAAACTGGCTTTGCCCAAATTTTCCCGTGATGCCCAAAAAATCTGAGTTGCCCAAAATTTGGGGGAGCTGCAGCCCCCTCGCCCCCCGGCCCGTACGCCTATGGGTCTGACCTATAGTATGAGGTTTGATTTAAGCTTGCAGAACTTTAAAAAGTCTTTAGTCGATATTTTCTCACCGCAAATAGAAAGAAAAAAACGTTGCGTTTTTATTTTGGCTGTAGAAAGAAAGCTTTGAGCAATTTTCTCGCCTCGAGTTCATCTTTGAAAACAGCAAACACCGGGAAGCCGGCTTTAAAACATAAACTTAGGCTTTAAGCATAAAGACTCAGGATTCTTAGAGACACTTTAATACTTAATTGTCTTCGTGAATGAAAATTGTTGTCTCTGTAAATGTTTCACCGAATTATATTTCTTTTATTGATTGTTAGTAGTCTCTCTTGCAATTTGCCGTTAATGTTTTCAGTCGTTCATGAACATTACCTTGCAGGAGTACTCAAAACGTCGCGCGTATTAAACGCTTGTTAAGTTTACACATCGTTATAAAACAATTAAATAAAAAAAAATAAAATAAAATAAATTCTTTATTATGTTGAAGTGTAACTCTATTAATTTTCATTCAAACGCTCCACAGCTTGCAACTGGCTGGCCGTTATATAGGTGATTTTGGAAATTTTTTTAGCGGTTTCGCTAAAAGCCCAAGCGTGCTTCGATCGTCCTGAATATTGAATGAGTGCAATTTATATTTCAAAATTGTGAAATACTGCATTC